AATCTATATATTATTTATTTCTACTGTATCTTTATTTTCAGAAAAAATATCTTTTTAAATCCCTTACGTGACATACTTGATGTCAACTACCTTATTGGTCCAAATTATACGGATTGGCTCCACAACCTGAGAATTATTCTTACGATAGAGAAAATAATGTACGTCATTGATATAGTAATGCCTACACCCGAGGAAGGGGCAAGCGATGATGAGATCGCTTATTACGTGAAGTACATAGATGACTCTACTCTTGGTTAATATTACATGTTGGGCTCCATAACTTCTGAGTTACAAAAATAATATGAAAACCTGGATGTCAAATCAATTCTTCTATATCTCCCTAAGGGCAACCTCACCAATAGTCACTATAGTAAGTTTTGCTCTATTGCCTATCTTAAAGTTCATCTCGTCTCTCGCTAATCTCCTAGGTTTTGCTAAAACCTGCAACAAATTATATATATGATATTATTGAGCAAAAGTTGTTGAATCTCTGTAAATTGTCTGAGCTATTATTGCATTGGATGGGCAATGAAGCATAGTATTCACCCAGTTTCTCAAGGACCATGAGATTATATCCCAATGAACACTTATTATACACTTTAGCTCAATGGTGTATTCGAGAGGAGGAATCACACACTGTTAGACATGGTATGGTACATGATGAGTTTCGTTGTTCTACTTATCTCATTTTGGGGCTACCTTGCTCACGTTAAGAGACATAACCTCGATAAGTTATAATCCAGGATGGAGCATTGTAAGTTTATGGGATACCCTAAAGAAACTTGTGGGTATTATTTCTATTACCTAGAGGATCAAAAAGTCTTTATAGCCAAGAGAGCAGTGTTTCTTGAGATAGAACACATTCTTGATGGAGATAGTGAGAGCATGATAGAGTTGAGCAAGGTTGGAGAACCTAGCTCAAGTACCATTTCACAACTTGATTCTGTTATGGTACCTAGCATATAAGTTCTAACTTTACGTAGGTCCAACAGAGTATCTCATCCTCCTAAGAGATATATGAGACATATTAAAGGAGAGGATGTTGAAGATATTGATCCTTAGACCTACAATGAGGCTATTACGAGTATAAACTCCGGGAAGTGGTAAGAAGCCATGAATTATGAGATTGATTTCATGTACTCCAACAAGGTTTTGAATATAGTTGATACACCCAAAGGTATTATATCCATTGGTTGTAAGTGGATCTTCAAGAAGAAGATCGAAATAGATGAAAAGATAGAGACATATAAAATAAGGCTAGTGGCTAAAGGGTATTATTAAAGGTAATGTGTTGACTATGATGAAACATTCTCACCTATAGTCATGCTAAAATCCATTCAAATTCTATTGGCTATTATAGCACACTATGATTATGAGATCTGACAAATGAATGTGAAAATCACGTTCCTTAATGGCAACCTCGAGGAGGAGGTGTATATGATACAACTTGAGGGATTCGTGTCCAAAAAAAGTTAAGATAAGGTGTGCAGGTTGCTTAGGTTTATCTATGGACTGAAGCAAGCTTCTCAAAATTGGAACATAAGATTTGATGAGGCGATCGGATCTTATGACTTTATTAAAAATGAAGATGAGTCTTGTGTGTATAGGAATGTAAGTGAGAGCATTATACCTTTTTGGTATTATATGTGGTTGACATCTTAATTATTGGGAATAATACAGGAATGCTCTTTACAGTAAAGAATTGGATATCTAGACACTTCTCTATGAAGTACTTAGAGGAAGCATTCTACATATTAGGGATTCAAATCTATAGAGATAGATTCAAGAGGATGCCTGACTTGTCCCAATCTAGGTACATAGACTTCATTATTAAAAAGTTTGGTATGAAAATTTTTCAGAGTGGTCTCATACCGATGAGATAGGAGATATCGCTCTCTAAGAGTATATCCCCAAAGACTCCTGAAGAAAGGGCAGATATGAATAGGATACCCTATGCCTCAACGATAGGGTATATCATATATGTTATACTATTTACTAGGCCTAATGTAGCATATGCTTTGAGTGTCATGAGTAGGTATTAGGCAGATCGAAGCTTAGAGTATTAGAAAGTAGTAAAATGTATCCTTAAGTATTTGAGAAGGACTAAGGAACTTTTACTGATATATGAAAGTAGCCTTGGGGTTAAGGGCTATATAGACTCAAGCTTTCAGTCTAATATCAATGATAATAAGTCTAATTTAGGGTATATGTTCACCTCAAATAGAGGAGCAGTATGCTGGAAGAGTTCCAAGCAAGATACTATTGTTGACTCGACCACAAAGGCGGACTATATTGCTACAGCAGAGGCAACAAAAGAGGGAGTCTAGATGAAAAAATTTATTACAGATCTAGCAGTTATGCCAGACAAGTATTGAGCTGATTCCCTTATATTATGAGAACTATGAGATTATTACTCAAATTTGGGAACTCAGGTCTTATTAGAAGTGTTCTGAGGAGGTTCCAACTTATTAGAGAGATTATGGTCCGATGAGATGTAGTAGTGGAAAGAGTTTCATTCGAAAATAATATCACATATTCACTAACAAAGCTGTTGTCTCAAATTATCTTTGAGCATCACAAGTGTCTTATAGGGGTCAGATACATATGTGATTGACTTTAGATCAAGTGAGAGATTGCTAGTCATAGTTGTCATGTAAGCCAATCACGTAAGTGACGACATATGCGACATGATATGCACTCATTTTGCTTATTTTTATTATTATAACTTTTTCTCACTTTATATTACTTGATATATAAATATATTATGATGTTCATGGATCCGTGCAATGAGAATCGAATTGTGATGAAATCATAATAATGAGACTAATTCACCTTTAAACACATACCCTAAATAATCATAATCATATGTTACTCGAGAGAGACATCGAGATAACCGGACATACTAGTGTATTGTATACCCATCTATATGATGGAGGTTGCTGGTCTCATAGCTACTCATGTGGGGACACTAGGGCTATAGTGCGGGCTACAATGCAGATGCTCATTGGAGAATGGTTTCACTGATTGTCCGCTCACGAAATATTAGATGATTGATAATACCTCATTGTTAGACAACGATTCCGTCATCCTAGTGGTGTACCTGATTCTTAGACTTAAGACACTGAGAATGTCCTATATGAGTACTCCACTCTTTGATATCATACTTATAAGTTTGAAAGTTCTAGATCTAGCACAACCGGTCATCGAGAGTGGCAGCCAACCTTACGAGAGCTATTGAGTGTTAATAGAGGATCATCCGCTCTTAGTATTATAAGAGAAATATCACATGTGTTCTTGTTCAAACAAATCCTTAGCCAAGGTTATTCGGATTGAGAGAGAAAGTGTTCTTCAGAAGAATCCGATTAGAGCGAGACTTGAGGAGAAATCGTATGAGCCTAACAGCACCATATCTAATGTACGGTTTGTGAGATATTAGATGGATGAAAGACTATATGTACATGATAACTGAGGACAAATAAGTCCAAAGGATTGGATTGCCCTATATCGTCTAAGGACTATGGTGTAGTGACATAGTACGTCTGTAGTTGATAAGTCAAGTGAATATTATAGAGATAATAATTCACTGAACTAGAAAGAGTTTTGATATATATGACTTACGACCAGCTCAATATTGGGCCTAGGGGGTCATATACATATGATAGATGTTACGACGAGTAGAGATTCAGATATGAGATATCCACCGAAGTCCCTATTTTATTAAATATCCATTAAACTCATGAATTATTGGATCCTATAGATGAGAGCCAATAAAAGCTAATAAGAGATTATTGGATAGAGACCCACTAATCTAAGAGGCTTTGGTAATTAGATAGAGATTCAATACCCAATAGGACATGATATATTAGGGTTATGCTGATAGAGGACCTTTATAAATAAGAGGGAACTAAAGGGTCATAGGTTGGGACTTCTTGGCTACCTCTCTTATTTTCCTCTCTCCTTCTCCTCTTAAGCCAACAAGTATAAAGATTTGGACTGTGATTTGAGGAGCGCCTTCATAGCTCCTATCGTGTGGATCACCGCTAGAGAGGAGAACACTTGACCTCTTTCATCTCTCCCATAAATCTGTAGGAATTCAGGGATATATGATCTCCCTATATAACATAACTATCTCACATGTGATTTTTAATTTTACGAATTTTTACGCACCAATCTTCGCACGACGACGACGAACACCTTTTTGAGAAATATGATATTTTTATTTTTTCGTTACGTATGTGATGTCGTCCTTATATTTTTTTATAATATAATATAGGAGAAAATGATTATAGGAGAAGCATAACAGATAAATATATATTTTGATAATAAAGTCTATGTGGCTTATAATGTAGTGAGTAATTGAGGAGGGAGGACAAAAGAGGGGAGGAGTGGATCGAATAAGTGAAAGTGACGACAACGACCACACACTTACTCGCCTTCACATTGGATCAAGACCACCAATAACAATGAAGCGACAACAAGCAACACAATGGGATTATGAGAAACAAGGAAAAAGGACAAGATCATCAATAGATGGAATGTAAATAGTAAAATATATTTTAATTTTGTTTAGGTGTTTGCAATATAAAGAGGAATCACGGTTCTTATACTAATGTTTTAGAGGTAAAAAAATTTGGACGATTTTCTTGAAAAAAAATCATTCTTTTTGGATTTTTTAACGTATCACCGGGTTTTAATTTTTTAATTAATATTTTTTTTAATCTAATACCCTAAATATCTCTCGCCATCGTTACCCATTCGGACATTGTCAATCTCTGCCTCGTCTCATTGTGGCTGCCTCTGTCCTAAATTTATAATTATAAAATAATTTTAATTTAATTTAATTTTATATTATTTATAAATAAATATATCACCGTACACAATTATGATAAAATAAATGAATTTAAAAGTTTTAAAAAAGACACGCAAAAAGTATTTGATATCGTCTTTCCACCCACACTTGGCTTTCTGGGCCATTCCCTCTTCTCCCCTTTTGTGTTCATCACTGTAGACCTGCCCCTTTATGTTGCGAACCCACCCGTCATTATAGCTTGGTCTGCAGGAGTCCCCCGTACTCCCGTTCCGTCCACTTCACACTTTGAGGCGGCCGCATCTTTTCCATTTCAAACCCTTCTCCGATCCTTCTGCTCTCTCGAATGCTACTGCCGTTGCTTCCTTCGGCGATCTGATCGAACTTTCTTTTGGTTTTGTACGATCTCAGCTTCTCACTGAAGCCGAAGAGGCGATCGCCCGTTTGCTTCCCTCATCCCCCACGAAAGGTTCAGGACACGAAAGGTTGAATGGGGTGTGTCCAGGGCAAGCGCTGTGGCCGCTACAAGAAGCGCTGCAGCAGCAGCTGCTGCCACTACCAACCCTCCTCCATCTCCACCGACGCCACCGATCCCTTCAGGATCCACGAAACGGACTCCTCGCGCGGTCTCCCCCTCCACGCGCTCTCCGGCGGCTTTGCGGTCGTCCCCTCCGCCGGTATCTGCCTACGGTACGCCTCCCTCACGCAGCGTGGCCACTATCCTGACTCGCCCGACCGCGCTAACCAGGACAGCTTCTGCGTGAAGACCGGCTTCCAGGCCAACCCCGATCTCCACTTCTTCGGCGTCTTCGATGGACACGGCCAGTTCGGCACCCAGTGCTCCGTGTTCGTCCGTGACAACCTCGCAGACATCTTGTCCGGCAATGCTCACCTGTCGGAGGATCCCGTAGAAGCCTATCACGCCGCTTTCCTGGCAGCCAATTCGGCGATTCATGACAGCGAGATCGATGATTCGATGAGCGGCACGACCGCGATCACTGTTCTTGTAGATGGGAACACGCTCTATGTTGCGAATGTGGGGGATTCACGGGCTGTGGCCGGAATTTGGAATGGTAATCGTGTCATGGCCGAGGACTTATCGACTGATCAGACGCCGTACAGGAAGGATGAGTACGAGAGGGTGAAGCTCTGCGGGGCGAGAGTGTTGAGTGTTGATCAAGTGGAGGGCATTGTGGATCCTGATATACAGAGCTGGGGTGATGAGGAGGATGGTGACGGGGATCCACCAAGGCTGTGGGTGCAAAATGGCATGTACCCAGGGACGGCTTTCACAAGGAGTGTGGGAGACTCGACGGCAGAGAGTATAGGAGTGATCGGTGATCCGGAGGTTAAGACTGTGAAGATCACACCAAACCATCTCTTCTTTGTTGTGGCAAGTGATGGCATATTTGAGTTTCTATCAAGTCAAGCGGTGGTAGATATGGTAAGTCTCCATTTCTCCCCTAGAAGATTGCTTTGTTTGATATTTGCTTAGTGCATTCATTTGTGATTTCTTTACTTATACTGTTACCAAACCTAATTGACATACACTTTTGCAGATCTATACTAAAATGAATGTGATAGTATAAGTGTATGAATTAGTAAAGAGACGGCCAATAATGAATTTGCAGTTGACACTTCTCTAGAATACACCTAAAGTTATTTTTCTAGTGAACTTCCTTCTTTAGTGGATCTTTTTTCCTGTTACGCAATAGGTGAATGTAATTGAACTTTGGCAATCAAGTCCAATGTTTCTTTTTTATCTTCTGGCATGACTCTTTGTCTGATAGAAGACTAGGCTATACAAATAATTCCTCAGTGCCCTGTCGAGTTTGGATATTATGTCTTCCTAAGTTTGTATCCTTTGATTTCTACCATGATCTGTAATTTTCTACAGTTGAATCAAATTTCTTTATATTGCTTCTGATAATTTTGAACAAAGACTTTCTTTAAAGATGATATTGACTTTAATGACTTTCACCAGTGGATAATTGCTACAGTCAGGTGTAGATTATCTGATGAAAGTTGAGTTTCCTACACAAGATATAAGTATGAGAGGTTTTGTTAGAGATGTTGTATGAGGGTAAATTCCTTATCACATATTGGAATGAGATAAAAAGAAACAATAAAGAATTAGATTCTGCCTCTTTAGTCCAGATAATATGAGCATCAGATGTTCGTGTCTGAGGACTTTATTCGGATAAGGAAGCACAAGATTTCAAATTCCAGTATTGTTGGCCTTCATTAAGCAAAGCATGATGTTGGCAAGAAGATGGCAATGAAGGGTCCAACTTCTAACATGGTTGTGTAATGCTGACATCAAAGATAATAACCATCCACCCTATATGAAAACTCTAAATCAGAAAGAGGTTCTTAAGAGCCAGTGACAATTAAGAGCCTGGTTCATTGTGGAGTATCTTATAGTTGAATAAAAGAATGAACTAGGCATGAGATTGTCAATCTCATGTTATTTTGTACTAGAAGACTTGATGGGATGGAACAACATCAATTGGTTGACTTTAATGGTCAATTTAACCTCTTGTTTTTTTTTCTTTGAGTTGTATATGTTCATCCATTAATCCTTATTATATCAGCTCATCTTGTGCAGGTATATACACTTGCAATTTCTTCTGGGCATAAACTTTTCTTGTATATTTTCTTTATAGATAATGTAAAAATATATATTTTGATTCTTTCAAGTTCCTCATGTTTCTTTCTTTCTCACAAACATGAAAAGTTTTGCATTACAACGGTTCATGTCCCAACTATTTGGGGTTGGATATATGAATAATTTTCTATCATTTTGTGTCATGCAATATCTCTAGTTAAATCAAGAGTATTTCACTCTTTTCATATTATTTTTAGTATTTTTTAATGTCTCACTCTACCTCTTTTCACACTTCTAATTCTGATTGACTCATCTTATTTGCTCACAACATCCTATTTTGCTATATCTGATTGTTATACATTTTGATCGCTGAATCTATTTATTTAATAAGTTTACACCAGTTTTGCTGCTTTCAGAGACCTGTTTTTGGCTTCAGGTTTCCAGGTTTGCTGATCCTCAGGATGCCTGCTTGGAAATTGCTTCTGAATCTTACAAATTGTGGTTAGAGAATGAAAACCGGACAGATGATATAACAGTTATTGTTGTGCAGATCAGAAACATCAGTGATGTAAGTTCAACCTTTTATTACCTGATGATAACATTAGCTGCATTTTCTTCATTGTTTTGGTAACAGCTTCCAACATTTCAAAAATAATTGTATCAGTCATATGCTGCTGCAAATGAAGGAGCTATCCAAACCAACAACAACAATGCTTCTCTAGATCCAGGTAAATTAAAAGTTGAGAGGTACATAGTCTCACGATCAGAAGTTAATCTCTCAAAGAAAAGCAGCTGTCTCGAGCTGCAGTCGTGCCTTCCTGACTGCTCAGTGGATCTAAGTTCTGCACGTGCTGCCCCTTCAACTCAGTCTTTCCATTTAAATGGTATGCCTTCTGTTTCCTATGTTTTTCTGCTGTAATTCTCTTATTTTCTCCAACACTTCAGTTGTGATATTTTTTTGTTATGGCAGCGATTAATTCGGACTGACTGGAGTTAAATGGTACTATATATATGGCTTCAATTTTGGTACTGGGAAGCACTACTCTACCAATGACTTGTAAAATTTTAAACGTAAGTGGTTATATTGCCATCCTTATCTCATTGTTAGGAGTTAAATACCACCTGATTATTTCATAATCATGCATATCCATAGTTTTAGAATTTGTCAGAGAAATTTGTTTACTATACTATTGCTAACTCTATCCAATCTGCAGGATAATTAAATGTGTTCTTCCACTTACATCAGAATGCACAAAAAAAGACCCATACACTCTTTCGTCGGTGACATTTTCAGTGACATTCTAGGCCCTTCTGTGTATGGACTTTGCTATCTCTTCCGCTGTGCAAATGAGGCAGAGCCACTTCAAGCAAAATGAAACTCCCTGACCTTTAGAAGGACTTGCTTTGGCATCTTCATTGTCTATGACCAGCTAATTCTGTCAGCATAGGCGATACAAATAGCAGAATGCCAGATCGTGTAGCTGAGGCCTGCAATATGGTAAGGTGCATTCGTAGAAGAATGTGGCGAAGTCATGGGGTTGCAAATATGAGTTTGAATTGATCGCTTGGTGGCTGGCTGGATGTGAGCTTTACCATCTTTTATCGAACCAGAGAGAAGCAAAAAACTTGAAAATATTTCTAGGACTCTTGTTATCTTGGTATCTGGTAACAGTATAATGGCGGTAGTGGCTACATAATGATATTTTTTAATTAAAAAAAAGAAGGCCAATGAGGCCTTAAGGGAGGAACAAAATTTTTTTTTTGTGGAAAAAATAACCAATGTTTTGGAGGAATACCCAGTAATCAATGGTTATGATCGCACAATTTAGCTCATTCATGTATTATTATTTTCCAAAAAGAAAAATAAATGAATGAGCTAAGCAACCCAAGCCAATGTCACTTGTTTTGAACAGGTCGTCCCAAATCCGAGCCCAGTTCAGAGGAGACTCGAGTCATACCGTGTCATTGTGGTTGAGATCGGAATCTCGGGTTCCAATCCCTAAAACCCTCGGTTCCCACTTCGTGGCTCACGCCATGGCGGAGCGTTTCGGTGTTCCCAGGCGGAGCTAAGAACCCGAAACCCTGCCGGTTCCTTCTTCCCCTTGATATACGAAGAAAGGGATTCGAAATCGATTGATGGCGTCCCCGAGAGATTCAGGCGCAGCGCAGCTCCCACCGGCGGCTTCTTCTCCTCCTCCGCTCCACGCCATGGACGCCGACGAGGAAGACGACAACGTGAAGCAACTTAAGGAGTGCGCCACCCTCTACTTGTCCCTTCAGGCAAACACTTCCTTTCTTCCTTCTTTCCTGGCTTCCTTCGCTTCTAATAGACTGCCGCTTTGTTCTGATCTGGATTATACCCATATCATTCGTTGTCTTCTGAAACAGGAGTGCCTCGCCGAGACCAACAGGAATTGGAAGTCCTGCCAATCCTGTACGTGCCTGGTTCTTTTCCTTTTGGTTTGATTTACTTATTGCTGTCTCTAAAACAATTTTCACATTTTGATCGAGATATTTAGTTGTAGTTAGGTTTTTCTCCTTGGTAGTGTGGTAAAGGAAGACTTGCATATTTGTGATTCTCCATACAAGTCAACTTAAACGGTAGCTAGAGGGTGGGGGGAGGAGGAGTTTAAGTCTGCCAAGATATGAGGCGTGCAAATCTGCAATATCAGCATAGTCAGAAGGAAACCAAACTTGCCTCTGGTGGGTCCTTTCGAATGCTCAAGTTAGATGTTGACCTAACTAACGATCGCCGAGATGGTAATAAGAAGCAGTATACCTTGGAATGGTTTTTATCTACAGGCACATAGGAGTTATTCGCTTGTAGAGGCAGGTCTCTAACCAATTTCGGTCGCCAGATATTTATTTACCAATTTCAGTTGGAAGACAGTGCTTTAGCAACCATGATCTTGATAGAATTTAAGAAGACTGCAACAGCGCCTAACAAATGGTGAGAGACATTCTCAGCCTAAGAGTCTGAGAAGTCATGTAACTTCTACGATAGACAAGACACATGACATCTTGCCTCATGGATTACTCAACATTAATGAACTGTTAAATATATCAAGGGTTATTTTGTTTCACTTTAAGTAACCTGAAGTGTACTTGTGGCAAAAGTTGCCTATATTTGATTCACCATAAATTGATGCCGACTCTGAAGTGGAGTTCCAAAAGGTCCCAAACTTGAAGAAAGTGGACTTCGGTGGAGAGCGTCAAGGTTACTTATGGCAAAGTTGGAAGGGAAGACAGTTACTTAAGTTGAATTCAGAGAAATCCTTGGATAACTGAACACTCATGTCGAAGTTAAGTTCCGTGGAATTTGACTTGCGAAAATTCCACTTTGGTGCCAGTTTTCGTCTTCCGTGAAATATACTGGTTGCTACTATTGCTATACTTATCCTAAAAGCTCATGCCATAGTAACAATTAGGACCTGACTAGCCGGAATGCTGCAAGCTATAAATAATAGCCAACAGTGTGATGCTAATGCTTAAATGTTAGTTTCAATTGTAAATTAATTGCATTAAATGTCAATATGTGTCCATGAGAACTTGGGAATTGGGACAAAGCAAAACTAAATCAGTATATCGAGATAGGACTATGTTAGAGTTTTTTATTTCAATCATTTATAGTCCTGAAGCATAATACTTTCTGATCACCTAACGGAATATCAAAAAAAATGAAAAGACCTTGCTAACCAGAATAAAAATATGACAAATAAAATGATTTTGGTCTTTTGTTTTTTTATCACAAAATAATGCTTTCTTTTACTTCCATATTCGCTGGATCATTGGTCACATGGGCTTGTAAAGCATGGTTTGTAGGTGAGTGTAAATTTAGCAATGAGAGAAATTATTTGAAGAGTTAATCAGAATATGTGATGGGGGCATTATGTTCTGAATTTGTTGGGCTGGTCTTTGGTGTATGTGATTCCAGAATGGATGGCAAATTTAGTCATGAGCAATTTCAGAACTGAAGGGTGACCACGTCAAATGATCTGTTTCCAGTGGATGCTGGGAATGGGAACAACTGTATAAAGGTGTTTAAGTGGGGATTCTCTAGGTGGTTTATAGAATATATTAGAAATGATGACAGAAGATGCAACACTAATTTAGAGTCAATCATGACACAGGAACGGAGAGAAAAAGTCAATCATGTGATTTTGGATAGGGAAATAGTAGAAAAATCCAGAAAACAACAGCAGACTCTGGAGATGTGTAACATGCATAACATCTTGTCAGATAGGCCGTTGTACATTCCTGGTAAGGATGATAAATTAGAAGTGTTGCCTTTAGTTACCTCAAAAATGGATTTCTAGTCCAATTGAATTGTATTATTTGTTTCCTAATTTTTCTGTTTAACCTGTAAGTTCTCCTATTTTGATTATTTTGCATTTGTTTCTACAGACAATAGATTTTTTATTTTTAAAGAAACCAAAAAATCTGGAGCCTGTTGCACTTGATATTTTTTTTCTCATTAAGCAATCTTATTTTATGCGTAAAACCTAGTATGTTCCCAAGCTGCATAGCATATCAAGGATGCAAGATGATTAATATGTACAATGTTGTTGTTTGTCTGCCAAATTTGTGTTCCATCAGTGCTTTGATGAGATAATAGTGGGGTAAAAATTATATGCTGCTAGACGTTTTATTAGTTTGTTTTTAAATAGGTATCTTTTTTCATTTTTTTTAAACCAGATGTTCAAGCATTAAAAGCATGCCATACAAGAAGAAACCCTAGTGAGCAGAAGTGAAGACTAGCTATAGTGAATAACCCAGCTGCAGCCTCACAACATCATGAGCACTCGCAAATATGAACATACAACTGACTTATAATAAGCTCTATTCTTCTGACTCGCAGCAGATTTCTCTGTGAATTTTTGTTTCAAGGACTTCACCACATGAAACACTACTGAGTTGTTTGCTTGTTTCATGAGTTCTCATTAGCAAAGGGAAAACCATTTGCACACTTTGATTGCAACGGAAATGAGACTTGCATAATTTGCTTCACTTGGCTATATTGAAGTTGACAATGAAAAGTGAAATGACAATAAATCGGTTGTCACCACCCCACTTATTTGTGAACGAATGAATAAGGTATCTCTATCTGGGGGACTTCAACAATTTTTTTGCCCTTTTAGTCTTGTCTTTGTTGTTCAAGGAAGAACCAACTTCTATATTTTGGCAAGTGATTCAAAACTTTAGGATTTAATTTAAATCATTGATGAGTTTGTTCTACTAAGTTTATCTCTATGACGATATATAATATTTCTTGGGACCAAATTCTTAATCTGCATGTACACTTCATCTGTCAATCTACGTTCTTTTTGTGTAATTTTCTTTCTGCTGCTATTTCTATTCTCTTATCATTCTATTACTACTGAAGTTGTATTACTGCGGGAAAGTCTTTTTAATTCAATTTATTTATCAAAATTTTCATTGAACGTATTTGATAATCAATATTTCGGTAGAGAAAAATAACTTTGAGACATCAATCAAAAGAATACGTTTGTTTAGTTTAGAAGTAGAAAAAGGAAAATGAAAGATTAATTTATAATTTTGAAATAGGCAAAGAAGTCTTGGTGTGGTACAAGAGATGATGGAATTATGCTTCCATTACTAGATGTAATCTTATGCACGTGATCATGGGGATGAACTAAGCCTTACTAGAGACGAATCGATGTTTGACCCACATTATTTGTCGGATCCCCTGATGACAAAGAGAGAAATGCAATTAAATCGCATTAATTGGTGGTGGTTTGAGGTGGAAGAAGGTGATAAATTTTTAATCATTATCAACATTATTGTTGGAAGGATTTATTCAGATGCTTTTTCCAAGCAATAACAAAAACAATTCGATATTATAAGAACATTATTTTGCTCAATTTGGTCCCGTCTCAAAGAAAATTCAACCATCAAGAGTACTTTTTTTTACTCTTACATTGACAGCAGACCAACCCATCAAAGGTAAAGGAAAGAAGTTGAATGTAATGTATTGAATAGGTATTTTATTTTTTATTCATCATTCGGGTCAATGAGTTAAACCAGATAGTTATATGAGTGAAACAAAACAACTTAGAAGTTTGCAGTAAGAAGATAAAATCTCGTTGAAGTAAACATAAGCAGTGTAAACTGTTTACATCCTTTGCTTGGAAGCTTCGCTTTTGCAATCCTTGCCATTAAGTTCCAAAAAAAGTTGATTATAATTAGGAATTAGGAAGACCGACAACTGCAACTTGGCAGATGCCAAGAGCATATGCCAGCAACCCATCTCTCTTCCAAGGAAAAGGAATGGCTCCACATCTGCCACATGACCAAAAACTTGTATGGAAAACAAAGAACACAGATGAGGAGAACAAGAACAGAGGAGAAAAGATTTGGCTAATACATGTGATTATATTATGTTTGGATTGGAAACCACTTCTCCATGCTAGAGAAGAATAGGATTTGAGATCAATTCACAGCAATTACATATCACAATTCCCATTGTTTTCATCTGAGTCTTTCCTTTTTTTGTCCCTCTCTGTTCATCCTTTGTTTGCAGAGATCATATCCAACTTCTTGTGATTCATCCGTCCTTCCAAAAATCGCACGGAAAACAAGAAAAAGTTGGATTTGATCCCATCAAAGAGAGGAAGAGGGGAAAGAAGCCATCTTTCGGATTATTCGTCCCTTTTTCTTTGCTTAAACTATTTAACTTTCAGATCGTATCATTCCAGCCGAAGCAATCGCCTCAGATCCTTGGTGGCGGAACAATCCACGACGGCCTTCGCCGCTGCCGGCGGTAGATCCTCTTTCCTCCTTGAGAAGCTCGGCAGCGGCAGCGCCCGGGGCGACGGCGAGAGATCGAACGCCGACCCCGCGTACACGTCCGGCGGCATCGCAGCCGCCGGCGATCTCAGCCGGATCTGCTTCGGGATCATGACCGGGTCCGGCCCTAGCCGCCCCATGCCGAACAACGCCGGATCCCACCCGACGCTGGCGGAGGGAATGGCCGCCGTGCCCGGCCCGCCCTTCCTCGCCTTTGCGGCCTCCAGCGACTCACCTCGCCTGAGGATGGTCACCTGCCCCATGGCCAGACGGGGCTTGGCGGGCTGTTTGGGCGATCCCTCCCTCCTCCTGCGGAGGGGTTTGGCGCTCCGAAGGCCAGGGGATGGGCGGAGGAGGCAGTCTTGGGGGCGCAACACCTCGGTTCCCATGGCATCGACCGATTCGATGCTGGCAAAGTTCTAATCTTTGGCAACGAGTCGGAATCAAGGACGTCTTTCTCCGTGCTCTTCCTCCTCAGGCAGGAAGACGAACCCTTTTGCTATTTAGTCCCTATTGGACGAGCAATTAAGAGTGAAGGAAGGGGTCGCCGGAGGGCGTTCATTTATGGAGGGGAAAGGCGAGCGATGCGTCGGGCCCACATCATTTCTGGTCGTTGGATGGGCGACGCGTGTACCGCAAGATCCGCATCCGCGTCAGCTGTTCGATATGAGAGGGTTAGCTCGGTTTTATCTCCATAGCACCGTTAGGTCGCCGTTTGTTTCGCATAGCTTGCGGCATTTATAAACGGAGGGTCCCTGTTTGAAGGGCTCGAGGGCGTTTGCGGAGCTAGCGTTTTCCCGTTTAAAGGACCCGCAACCGGAAAGTGCAGCTAATTAAATGGCAGTGACCTTCCACTAGCGGGACCTTTTAACCCCTGGTTGATGCGACTGCTTGTGAGGACCTACGCCTTTCTCCGGTGGAGACCTTTTAATTGGCTGGTGAGTCTTCTTTTCTTTAGATAAAGTTGGGCAATAAGATGCCGGGAACCTGTTTGCGTTAATGCGTGACAGATTCGGTGCGCTAGCTTTGTCCGTCCTTTCATCTTTCACTGGTTTACGATTTGGGATTAGTTAATCGACTGATAACTGTGCTCTTTCTTGGATGTCCGTCGACATGAGCATGCGATCGAGTGAGCATTAGGCTAGTTGCACGTTTTGTTGTTATTGGACATGTCGAAAGGTTTGTCATGCCCGGCCCAGATACCCTCAAAGCCCAGAAGAACAAGTAGGGGCAATTGCAAATAATAAGTTGCTTCTACTGGCAGCAATATAACTCACTATGGGGGAGTAACTGGTGGCAGTATGTATTAGGTTCTCTTATCATTGCTACAAACTATACCTGAATAGTTTCAGTCTATGGGGCATATCTACAAACCATTTGCAGGCTGCGGGCTATATCGTGACTGACATGATGGGTTTGTGAGGTCCGTTTTGACTGTGTCTTTTTGACTTTGACCATTTGTTCTGCCAATTCTGTCGATCACTATCATGATTCGGGCTTGGTCTCAGTGGATTAAGTCTAAATTATTAGTCAAAGTAATTAAGCTGAAGTTGATAATAGTATACTCATCAAACCCTTAGTTTTATCCATTTTTAATTGAACCTAAGTGGGATATTATAATTTCTCCCACTCTAGCCTAGATTAATTCAGATCAAATCTACATGTAAGACGCAATCCAATGGTGGCTTTTCTAGTCAAAATGTTTATGTTGAAGTTGATAGTAGTACATTTATCAACCTTATAATCTGAGCAGAATTATCAAGAAATGCAATCATTTTTCTTCCACTTCTCATCATTTTCTCTCTTATTCTTCCATTAATCCAGTATCTTCCTTAACAGGTTTAGTTTTGTGATATTTATTAGTACAGTAGTCTTTGTGAAGCTTTGGATAGAGAAGTATAGCGTTTTACATTTGAAGGGTATCTTATTATTCTCAAATGTCATTCCATATTGGGATTGGAGGAGAATTCACACAACAATGTCCCCTTCTAATTACCGCATGAATACATATATGTCTTAAAACTTCTATATTTATATATATATATATATATATATATTAATTATGACTATATTTTTAATCTATACAAGAAATTTTTATTCTTTAATCATAATGATAGGATTAACAATTTTTATTTGTTAATGATAAATACTTTGCTCGACATTCTACTTATGATTTCTACATTGATAAAAGGTAAGTGTTATGGGGAGAAGATAATGATAGTAAAAAAAAGAAAATTCAGAGATCAACAATCTAATACAGATCAAATGATCGATGCGATATTCACATGATCCAATAATCTTGACCTATGTCCATAAAAAAGAAAAAAAATTATATTTTTTTAACCTGAAGATGAGACTAAGTTTTCTTATGTTAATATGGGCTCAAATATAGATTCCTTTATTCACCCACAACCTCTCTAGATTTATCAGAGAAAAATCCTAAGAACATGCAATATATTCCTATATCTCTATTAAAAAAAGAAGAAGAAAACTAAGGATACAAATGATATTTATAGAATAATTAAATATTAATTTGTATAGTTTGTTCTCCTTTCGTACAAATCTTGCCATATTTGGATTACTTATCAATGTAGGACGAGTTTTAACTGTCCATTTGGATATAAATGAAGTGAACAATAGTGGTAATAACCATAAAAGTATAATAGTAGAAAAAATAACTATCTCTACGCCTAATCATATGATCCAAAAACATAACATATATGACATTGAACCAATAACATATAGTGTGGGAAACAAAGCTAATTCGTTGATCAAAGCTAATTTGTTATCCATTATGATGTTTTATTATATTCTATTTGCTTTTATTGTGGACCTCTAGGTAAAAAAAAAAAAGAAGGGAAAATATCAAATGAATCATTTGTTCTTTTCTTTTTTATAGCCTTTACTATTTGATTTAAATAGTATATTCTTGATCGATAAGTCCTCATATTTATAGAGGTGATTTTTTAGTTGTTCTTTCATTTTTTTTCTGCACTGGTTTCCATTTTATTCTCATTTAGCAATTACAGGAAGCTAAATTAAAAATGTCAAGTGTTGTCATGTGCTAACTTATGAAATTGGCTTCCGCGTTTATTTTTTTTTTCTCTTCAAGCAATCTAGGAAACTAAATTTAGAATCTTCCAATGTTACTACTTGACAACTTATTAAATTTACAAACAAATTTCGAACTTAACTAAAAAATATTAAAATGTTAAATAATAAAAATGATCTATCACTTATAGTGCCTGGTAGGTATTATTTCATCTGCTAATCTTTGATCAAAATAAGCAATTATTAGGCCTACCCTCCCATACTCTTTTTCTTTTAAGACACTCCAATTGTCGGCACACGAACCCCACAAGCCACCCCCGCACCCTTCTCATCCACGCATCATCAGCACGCTTTGATCTCCCAATTCCATGTGTGTTTTTTGTTTTAATATAATTCGAATGTGAGACCATTTATCCAATGCATTTTATGTCTAACAGAAACAAAATTAATTCCTTATGTTTCATATCAATTCCTCACTAATATTTTTCTTGAATAAATATTCACAATAAGAAAGAGGGAGGTGTTGGATTCGCATTAGATGGTGTCTTGGGACCGAATCATAAAAGGAATCTCGTTCCAGTCAGCCGCGGTTGTACGGTGCTTATCCTGTGCCCTTGGCTTATTTGGTGGGCCCGGCAGAACCGGTTTCACGATCCCTATTTAAGGGAGAGGGTGAGGCGATCGCGAAGGTAACGGCGAGGAGAGAAGAGTAAAATTGAGTTCTTGGCTTGGTTTTATGTCTGAGCTGAAGTAGGCGAAAAGAACGTTGGAAGTCATTTTGCTGCGGTGGGATCCCGCGATGGGCGGCAGGGGGCGGTGGGTCGGGGAGGATGAGCAGGGGAAAGGTCAGAACGGGCTACTCCCGAAGTCGATGCGCATCTTTTCGTCCTGCCTGAAGACTGTTTCGTCAAACGCGGGGTCCGTCGTGAGCAGCGTCCGATCCGCTGGGGCGTCCATCGCCGCGTCCATCGCCGCTCCGCCCGAAGATGACAAGGACCAGGTTATTCGTGGAAAAACAGAATAATCTCCCCTTTCTTGCTATTGGGCCGAAGATCGGTGTTAAATGGAAGTCTGTTCTTTTAATTTGATTGGTTTGCAATTTGATTTGTGTGTTGTCTCTTATAAGAGGGGACGAACTGTGATGCATACCAGGTAGTTGACAGTGTTTAGGTTCATGGTTCTTGAGCTTCTTGATTGACTAAATTTACGGCTCAGACTTCTTAATTTCAACTGACGTACTTGTTAGCTATTCAGAAGAAAAAAAAAAAAAAGGCTCTTCCTCAATACCTAGATTTCGGTTAGGAAGAATGCAGGGGTTGGAAGATTTATAGAGAATGAAAATAGTTATTTATCTTGAAAAAAATGGTATTTTATTTGATGTCTGGGAAGAAAAAGCACTTGCATTCTGGTTATTCTTGATGATCTTTTCAAATTATTACGCTTTGGGATTTCTGGCTCTTAATTGAAGGAGAAATGTACATTAATAGAGGACCAGAATACTAAGCTGAGAAGTTAATTGAAGGAGAAATGTACATTATCCACTTTTGACTTATGATTGATTTTTTAAGATTTACTGCTAGCTTCCTAGCCAGTCTATATTTCAGAATGAATGGGCTCTGGTACAAGACCTAGGAATAAGTTGTGTAAGTGGAACGTCCTACCTTTGTCATATATACATGAAAAAGTTAGTGATTGAGCCAAAACTATACAGAAAGATCTTTGACTGATCTTACTGGAAAATGCTAAAATTTATCAGAACTATTACTCTCTGCATACAAGCTGTAGATTCTGCTAGAAGAGGTTAATTGATTGAGGCTGGAATAATTTCATATGATTAAATTTGGTATGTGAGCCACAGGAGGAGATAAAGAGCAGTTATTAGCCAAGTGGTTCAAGCCAGTAGATAATCAATCCAAAATGCACCTGCACAATTTTCATTTTTCACCCTTGATTTTTCTTCATTTCTCCAATAGTTGGATTTTTTATAATTCTATCGATGGCGTCAATGGGCAAAAGTGTCACTATATCTTTTTCGTGTGTATTTTCAGAGCCAGCGGGCTTGATTAAGTTGGTAACTGAAAGATAGATATAGTGGTCCTTGGTTAATGCTATGAGATATTAGAAGATAAAGAAGCAGATTAATGAACATTTGTGTGCCTGTGATTTTTTGGAAAGTGAAGAGAGTGACAGATATCAGGGAGGTTTATGAAGGTGCAATTCACTTAGTATAAAAGTTTTATTATTATATAAACAATATGGTTCGTGCATAAGAAAATGTTCCATGAGGTGGATGTTACTATGCTAGCATCTCTTTGACTTAAATCATTTTTTAGTGTTTATATTGGTTAATGTATACATTTTGCTTATTGGGTATTGTTAAGTCCAAGGTATTGCCTCTTGCTTGGACCAGTATGTACCATCATAAACCTCCAACTTTGGACGGTCCACATTCGGTATAGGGCTTATTGTTTGTTATTTTAAAAAAAAAATTCTTTAACCCCCTCCCCGCTTCTTTGTACGATGGTATGTATCGGCATATTGGGTCACAATGCCAACACAAGCTGGACCCATACCGATCCGGCTTGAACCGACATGGGTTCGATAGAACCTTGGTCAAGTCTTTCTTGTCTTGCTCTTTTTGTATTCACCAGTCATTCACAGAAGATCTCCGTGTATGCTACATTTCTACACTTAATATCTCTGGTTTAAGAAAATACAAATTTTGATAATAAATTTTTGTTGCTCTAACAGGTTTTATGGGCTGGCTTTGATAAGATAGAGCTTGGTCCAACTTCCTTCAAGCATGTTCTACTTCTTGGTTATTCAAATGGATTTCAAGTGTTTGACGTGGAGAATGCTTCAAGTGTATGCGAACTGGTTTCCAAGCGTGATGGCCCAGCTACTTTTTTACAAATGCAGCCCATGCCGATCAAATCTGAATCTACTGAAGGACTCAGAGCATCACATCCTTTGCTCTTGGTTGTTGCTGGTGATGAAACCAATGGCACTGGTGTGGTGCAAGGTGGTCATCTGAGTGCATCAATGAGAGAGAACAAAAGTGAACCTCGGGCAGAAAACAGCATCTTAATTCCTACAGCCGTCTGGTTCTACTCACTCAAATCTCACAGTTATGTTCATGTTCTGAAATTCAAGTCTGCTGTATATATGGTTCGAAGCAGTCCCCGAATTGTTGCTGTGTTATTTGCTACACAAGTAAGCAGGATAAGTTATTTTATTTTGATCATCAGTAGATTTGGGGTATTACAATTTCCTTCTGATTGCTTGAATTATGTTTTGGCAGATATTGTGTTTCGATGCAGTTACTCTTAAGCAAAAGTTCAGCGTACTTACCTATCCATTACAAGGAGCACCTGGTGTTAACATTGGTTATGGTCCAATGGCTGTTGGCTCTAGGTGGTTAGCTTATGCTTCTGATAACCCTCTTGTACCAAATTCAGGCCACCTTAGTCCACAAAATCTTACTCCCTCTCCAGGTGTCAGCCCATCAACTTCACCCAGCAGTGGAAACTTAGTTGCACGTTATGCAATGGAATCTAGTAAAACATTGGCTGCTGGAATTCGAAATCTTGGAGATATGACTCACAAAACTTGGTCAAAATATTGCCAAGAGATACTTCCTGATGGCTGTAGTTCTCCTTTGTCATCAAATTTGAGCAGGAGATCTGGAAGACATCCACCAACTTCACATTCAAGTGAATCTGATAATGCAGGAATGGTCTGTATACTACCAGAGTTGGACACATCATCCTACAAACTAATACTTGCAAACACTCTTAAATGAGATATTTATAATTAATTATTTACAGATCTTAAATGCATTTAGTCTTTCACAAGGTAAATTGATGATTTTTTGTGACCCTGCAGGTGGTTGTTACAGATTTCACTTCAACGGATGTCATTTCACAATTTAGGGCCCATACCAGTCCGATATCTGCTCTATGTTTTGACCCAAGCGGTACTCTTTTGGTCACAGCTTCAGTACACGGGCACAAGATAAAAATTTTCCGAATCATGCCAACTCGTGTACTAAATGGTTCTGGCCCAGCACGTTACAATTGGACGTCGTCGCATGTGCATCTTTACACACTATGTCGTGGGATAACAGCAGCTGTATGAATCTAAGATGCTCTTTACCATGATTTCTACGGCAAATCATTTATTTGATACCTTTGATTGATAGTTTTTTCTTTTTGTACCAGGTCATCCAGGATATCTCGTTTAGCCATTATAGTCAATGGATTTCAATTGTTTCATCTAAGGGTACCTGCCACATATATGTTCTATCGCCTTTTGGTGGTGATGCTAGCCTTCAACTACAAAATGTGAATGGTGAAGGACCGGTTCTAACTCCTAATCTAACGTCGCCATGGTGGTCAGCTGCATGTTGCATGATGCATCAACAGTCACATGCACCTCCACATCCACCTCCAATTACTTATTCTGTAGTTAGTAGGATTAAAAATGTTAATTCCAGTTGGCTAAGTACTGTTAGCAGTGTTGCTGCTTCTGCAGCAGGAAAGACATTTGGACCATCAGGTGCTGTTGCTGCTATGTTTCATAATTCTCTTTACCATGATCTTTCACCGGTTCCCCCCAAGGCGAACTCTTTGGAACATCTTCTAGTTTACTCTCCGTCTGGTCTTGTCATACAATATGAACTTCTTTTATCTTCATTTGTGGAGCCTTGTGATAGCAGCTTGAAAGCTTTACCTGCTCCTTTGTTGCAACTTCAAGATGAAGAATTACATGTAAATGCTGAGCCAGTTCAGTGGTGGGATGCATGTCGAAGATCAAATTGGCCTCAAAGAGAGGAACATGTTTCCATAATTATCTTTAATAATCAACAAGATAGTGAGACTGTCATCAATTCAGGAGATTGTAAAGATAATGGAAGTTCATGTATCCTGTCAAGTGCCAATGGTGTACCTGGAACAGAGTCAATGGGAAGTGAAAGGTCCTGGTACTTTTCAAATGCAGAAGTACAGATTAGCTCAGGAAAGGTCCCAGTGTGGCAGAAATCAAAGGTATTAATCTTTTTTGTTCCTGAGCAGTTCATAAAGACGACAATTCTTAAAGGTGGATAACATATATCTTCTATTTTATTTTTTATTGTAGATTTGTTTCTGTTTGTTGGATCCACTACCAGCTTTTGAAGGTTGTGCAGAAGATCTTACTCATGGAGAAATTGAGATTGAAAAATTATCTTTTAATGAGGTGGAAATAAGGCAAAAGGATTTACTTCCTGTTTTTGAGCAATTTCATGGATTCCAGTCAGACTGGAATGACAGGTATTTTCTATAGAATACTGCTGTTACTAATTAAACTATAAGGCTTGTCTTCTGCTAGTATCCTTATAGACTTAATACAACACGATAGACATAATTCAAGGGCCTTTGCCCTGATTGTTTTTTTACTCTTTTATGTAAAATTGGATGTCACAAAATATATGTAACTGAAGTGGAGTGCAGCACAGTTTCTATTGTATTGAGTAGTATAGCACAAAAGTAATGCTCCCACAACACAGCAGGAGAAAAAAAAAAGAACAGATTCAACATGAAAGTCACAAATCTGACCAGACTAAAGTATGAACGAATCAATTACTATAGTTTATACTTTTGACAAAGTCTCATATTGGGATGCTTGATCAAGAACATACTGAGTTCTGCAATGAAGTATGGACTTGGTACCTATATGCTTGCTCTTGTACATCTTGATCTTGACCAGAATAAAAGCATTGACAAAACCAATTTAATAAACTAATTTGTAATGTATCATTTAAAGATGCTCGGATTATGAATTCTCTTAATTCTGCAAAGTGGCACAGATTTGATAGAATTAGCTCATTCTCACATGTACAAAAACCTTTGGTAGTATTAGCATGATGAAATATGAATAGGAAAGTTATGAAGGGAGTTTATGCTTTTCTTCTCTCGAGGAATTTTATTTTTTTGCAAAGGTTAAGTGATGAGGACAAGTTTTGAGCCCAGGCCCTTGCAATGACCTATTAAGATCTTTACAAGTTAAGCTAACCAGCATATTACAATAAAAGACAGAATTCGATCTCTGGACCTTGCGATGACATGTAAAGGTTTTTACTAGTAAAGCCAGGCAATACCTTTCCTCAAATATTTTTTCTTCTTATGAAGTCCTCATTTTGCACCCTTTTTTGCTGCCTCATCCTGCCTCAAGGAATTTTGGCTTGGTCCAAATGTTACCAGGGACTTTAAAAGTAATGAAGATACTGTCTCATAATGAAGATACTGTCCTAATCTAGCTGTGAAAAACAGTTCTATATTAAATCTTGTCCTTAGGATTTGGTTCCATCCAAATACAGGAAATAGCCCATTGCTTTTTGTATTGTAAAATGTAAATGACAATCCTTCATACATCAAGAGGATACTGTCTCACAGTAATGAAGATACCAGGGACTTTAAAAGTAATGAATATACTGTTACCAGTTCATTACTTTAAAAGTAATGAAGATACCAGGGACTTTTAAAGTAATGAAGATACCAGGAAATAGCCCATTGTTTTTTGTATTGTAAAGGATTAATTTCTCAGTTCATTACTTTGAAAGTCCAAATGTTACCAGGGACTTTAAAAGTAATGAAGATACTGTCTCACAGTAATGAAGAAACTGTCCTAATCTAGCTGTGAAAAACAGTTCTATATTAAATCTTGTCCTTAGGATTTGGTTCCATCCAAATACAGGAAATAGCCCATTGCTTTTTGTGTTGTAAAATGTAAATGACAATCCTTCATACATCAAGAATATGTGAGAGGGTTTATTATTCTCAAGTCCTTCAAATTTGATTTCAAAAGGATTAATTTCTCTTTCTTGAATAATTCATCCTTCTTCTAACCTTCATATTATTGCGGTGGTTTATGTCTTTCCTTACACTCATCTCTTCTTGGTGTTTTATAGTAACAATTTTCATTATGACTAGTTGATTACCACAATATGCATCAGTTTCAATCATGGTATTTATGACATAAGCCCACTAAAGCAAACTCTTGATCCCTATATCTGTAGAGATCAGTCATCCAGTTGCATCACGGCTAGATGAAAATTTAAACTTATCTAATGCTGGGCATGTTATTTAGCACTTCAAATATTGTGAGCATATGAAGTTTGGATTCGATTGAGGCTTTTCTGAGTTTGTGATATCTGTCTGCTTCTGCAGCAGCACTTTAAAGACAAAGTGTTGTCTTTAGAAACCAGATTTTCGAAGGTTCAGATCTGAAATATTGTTTTTCTCATTAACACAGGCAGTACATTGCACCTGAAGCTGCTGCATCCTTTCTAGCTGCAATTAGATGGTCGTGCAATAGGGTAATGCGGACATCTTCACATTTGATGTCTGAAAGAGAAAGATGTATTTGAAATGTATAACCTAAAAGCATTGGGACAGTGCTAGTGAGCAATACAAAAATAATTGCAGAATGTGAATGCTGGAAAGTCCATAAACCATAGTAGGAAACTATTTGCATGCATGCATCTGTTGGTTTGACACCATCTGAGAAATCTGGGTTGAACATTGACTCAGCAAAATGGGAAATAACTGTTGCAACATCAGAATAAGTAACGGACACTAACCATCATAGTTGTATAATCAGACCGTTACATCTTTGCAGGGTTGGTGGTAGATACCAAACTTCATCAGGAGGTTTGCTTGATCCAAGCAATGGTAACTTTGAGCCTACTTCTTTTGCATGTGGATCATATTTTGTTAAGAACAATTTCTAAATTTGCTGAAACTTTGATATGGAATTTGGTAATCAGAAGCTATTTTTTTTGCCTATATGTTTATTTTAGGGCCAAGAACCACAGAAGATTTGCTTGGTTTAAGTGAGACAAGGCCTAATGAACGTGTTAGCTTGCCGTTGATGGAGAAGTCTATTCCTAATGAATCTGGTCATGGTTTGTCTTCAGTTATCAGAAATGACGTTGATGCATTGTCAGAATTTAAAGCATCAGCCGTAATGCCAAGAAAGTGCTCTGCCAAAAGTTGCATCCAACTTAATTTGAAAAACACTGATAACTATCCTGTCAAGAATGACTCAGTCAACAATGGTGTGTCAACAAGATCAAGTGGCCTGTCATATAATGGTAGATTGGCTGTAGATAATTACTCTCTGAACAATAATGGCAGTAGAAAAATTCCAAAGACATGTATTACCAACACCCATATGGAACAAGCTGAAAGTGCTGATTCCCAAGAGTTTGGTCAATATTTTGATGAGGGCTATTGTAAAGTATCAGGACTTGATGACTGCTGTGAGTTAACTGAAGCTGTTAATGATGCAGACAGCAACAGCAGCCATTGCGAGATAGAAAAGACCGAAGAAGATGGGGACAATTTCAATATGCTGGGAGGTGTATTTGCCTTTAGCGAAGAAGGTGTGGACCTGTATTTCTATATTACAATTTTGTAATCATCAATAGATTTTGTTTTTTCTTCTATTTTCTGTTAGCATCAAATATTTTATCTTCTTATGATGTGAAACAGGTTGATGGCACTTGGTACATTTGCCTTGATACCAAAAGATGGAGCGCTTACCATTGTATTTATCTTCTTACGTTTGTGATTTCTCCCTTCAATAATGCACTGTAGAAGATAGTGGCTTCAAAACCTTTGTAGGAGTAAATTTCTATTTTTCAAAGCTGACTCTACATACGAACTGGAAGCTATCAACGTGTACTAGAGTAACAACTCTCTTTCTATTTGATTCCCATTTGGCAATCAAAGGTATTTACCTTATGATTGGGCACAGCTGATTGAGAGAACCATAACTCAATGCTGAAAGTGTGAGAGATGGAAGCTAAAAGTCTGCTTATCGGGTCACCTGTCCTTTCACCATTATTGTACATTCTGTAGATTTGGAATTTTAATTTATGAAGTTGGACATGCTTCCTAGAGGCAGAGCTCTGTTTCATCTTTACTTGTACAGAATTATTTACTGTTAATGGGTTCTATGGTTGATTCATGGTGATTTTATTTTCTGTTGGTCTTCAATGGTTGAAATTATTTTCAAACTTGTTTTACGTGTCCATCAGCTGGCCTTTGTTGCTCATCAGACTACTGTAATATTTTCTTCATAAACTGAAGTATGGTACCTTATGCTGTCTGGAGATACAACTTGTTCATTCCAAATGTTGGTTATCCTAGTCCCTAGACATCTTCTATTGCCAGTTTCATAATACTTTGTCGCCAGTTGAATTGTTTATGACCTCTTTGGCATTTAAAGTCTACTTGAGCTGTTCTTGGATTCTGATGGTGGCAGCTGATGTATCTATCATATGTTTGATTCCATATGATTGGAATACCATATTTTTGGTAATGTTATACCAACTGTTATACCAGGAAATTCCAGCTGAAGGGTATCTATCATTGTATCTACTACATGTTATACCATGAAACTTTGTTGATATCAACAGTAGATACCACTGCCAACTCATTGAATTGCAGGTTCATATTTGTTTCAGATTTAATTTCTTAGTTTTAGTTGCTGAGCTGATGTAAATTTACCTCCCTTGTCTAAAGTCTCCGTTCTCAATAGTCAGTGTGTGTGTGTGTGTGTGTCTGCATCTACGTCTACATGTGCATGTGCATGCGAGTGAGTGCTCACGACCCTGACCTTGCCCCATCCAAGGCCTGGATTGACAACTCCACCCTTGAAAAGCTCAATGACCTCCAGGATGAACACTTCATGAATACAGGTGCCTGATTTGTCATCCCTTCTGTTAGGGATTTCTATTCTGTTTGTTTGTTTGTTTCAGTGCTATTTTCATCTCTTCTTCTTGTCAAGGATTATTTAGGTGGCTGTTGCATTGGAAGTTCATGAAGCGGATGTTGATGGAGATACAGGAGGTCGCTAGGGTTGTCCATTCCTGATAGGTGGTCTCCACTGTGGATCTGATTTAGTCTGGGAGGTATCTCAGGCAGTGGCCTATAACCGGACCATTGTACTACTCTACAAGAGCAGGTATTCTCCTAGTTCAAAGTCTTGTTTTATGTGGTTCGATATCTTTTGTTGCTTTCTTGGTGATTTCACACACATTTTTTTGGCAGAAGTTAAATCTTTCTAGGATATATCAAATTGGTTTCATCTCCAGTCATTTAAAAAAAAAAAGGGTGGATTCAGTGCACAAGGCTCCCACCAATGCGAGGTATGGGGAGGGTCAATAGACACACTATTAGATTTAAATAATTAAAAAGGCTGTTTTCAAGATTCTTTCTTAAACTAAATTGATCTCTCTGGATTCTAGTGTTTCTGTATTGACATGTACAAAGGATGCTATTCTTTTCTGCTGTTGGAAGTTTATAGCTCTATGAGTGCTCAACTGATTCTCTATGATGTCTTTGTGAATTTATAGCATCTTTGGACCAACTGAATTGCCAGTAGTCCAGCTTATAATATGCTTGTCATGTTGGAGAACATGCACTGCTTTGCTAGGAATTGTTTCTCCATTTGCATTGCTGATTAAAATGTACCCAAGGAAGATAAAAAGTGTCAACTTATTTGTTTATATTTGTTCACTGTTTGTTGCTTTCCTGTTCTGATTTGGTTCTATTGTGTTTTACTCTTATGTTGCCTGGAAGAGAGCTTCTACCATTTACCTGGCTACAAAGTTTCTATAGATAATCTCCGCTGACTTCCTCCCAAGTTATCCAGATGGAAACCTTCCGATCATTATGGTGTGCAACAGTTGTGCGGTTAAAGGAACAACTGTGGGATGTATCATTTTGGTTCTCAGAGATATACACCTGAAGGTGTCTCGTTTGGTTACACGCATCAGGAATGTATGGTATTTTACAAATTGCTTGAACTTATCATCTATTTTCTTCTATTTTTTCCCCAACTAAAGATTTGAAATTTCATGTGTCCTGTGCATCATCAGCCAATTCTATTATTAATATATTTGTCTTCAATTTCTTGTTTCCAAGTTCTGCTTGTAGTTGTTTGTTCTTAGATTTTGATTCTTGAGTTGTCCTTTGGGAGATATTTCTCTATAAGAATGAGGCCAGAAATATATAGTGAGCTTACTATAAAGCTTGGCCAAAAAATCAAAAAAACTTTGATTACTTTGATTGCCATGTCATATCTTGTGAAAGAGACTAAAGGCCAAATATTTTAATGAGGTCACCTAAGGCTTAATTATATTAGGTTTTGAAGATAAATGGATATGCAGATGATCTGAAACGACAGAAGTAATTTTCTGGATAGATGATGGATACATACAAGGTGAACAAGTGGTGGCCCTATAAGATAATGAGATCAAAGAAAATTTCTGAGAAGAATTGATGTGCATTTAAAGATGTTATTAAAAGATGAAATTTGGTTTTGATATTATATTTGTTAGGTATGGTTACTGTATATCTTATAAGTCTGCAAAAGATGGAAGTTAATGGTTTTAGAATAATTATGACCAAGATAGACTATATTTTTTATGCAATGTTAGTATCAAAAATTGATATTAAAAGGATAAAAATTTCAGGTATCTTGGTTCTACTGGTCAACAACAATAGCAATAGCTGGCTTAAATTGATAGGTGTATCTAGGTTTAATAGTAAATATTGACTGGTGATGTGTCATACATTTTCTCTTGTTTTTTGTTTTAGAACTTGTCATGCCAATTTTATTATTTGTTACTAGTTTCTTGTTTCTTATCTTTTTATATTCATGTGTCTCAAATAATATTTACAATCATTTTCATCTTTAGATTGTGCATATTCGCTCTGTTTAAATCTGCATGAAAGATTTGCCATCATGCGATCTACAAAATGTATCCAAAAATACTTGTTTATCGAACCTATATCATCTTTAGATTGTGCACCAGTTGCTTTAGCCTTTGCCAATCTGACTCGGCCCCAACTGATGGACGAAGCAATAGTAGTTCGAGGGAGGGCATCGAGAAAGGAGTCTGGAGGAGATCCTATAGAAAAGTTTATAACAGACCATGTTGATAAGACGATGATAACTATAGTGATATCATTTTCTTTCCTCGTTACTTAGTGAAGCTTTCTTATGTATGGTTTGCGACATAAAGTTACACCTGACTCATGTTGACAAGACAATGATAACTTTAGTGATATCATTTTCTTTCCTCGTTACTTAGCGAAGCTTTCTTATTTATGGTTTGCAACATAAAGTTACACCTGACTTATAGGAGATTTAGTGAAGCTTTCTTATGTATGGTTTGCGACATAAAGTTACACCTGACTTATAGGAGATTTTGTTTCTTTTGTTTATTGTCACCATAGGTATTGTGTCTGATGTATTCTCTCTATATGTCTATCTGATGTCAAATTTGAGGTGGCATGATGTTACCAGTATCAGAGGTGTATTAGGTCTACAGTGTGTATCACATATATAATATACCTGTGACAGAAATGACACCATCATGTAACACAGTGGTAAATCCTGAAACATCATTGTACTTTCTATCAAATTCACTAACAATAAAGACATGCTCCTTTTTTTTAATAATTTATATTTTTTACTAACTAATTTGTATTCATCAAATAAATTATGAAAAGCATTCAACAATATATCAAAGGATAAATGGGCTTCGATTGAGTTACTTGCCTCATCGCCAAGCACTATTAAAGTGTAGTTAGCAACTTCTTTGTTAGTTGGCTCCTCGTCTTCGGATGTGATTGAATCATCCCAAGTAGTTTTTAACGCTTTATTCTTTTTTGATTGTCTCTTCAAACATTCATTTTTTAAGTACCCCGGCTTCCTAGTAAATTATTTGGTTTTTTTTAAATTTATTTTTATTTTTAATTTCATGTTTAGTTTTATTTTTTTTATAATTTTTTAAAGTTTTCTTATTAGAAGTGCCAAGTTCATTGCTATTCCAAATCTTGTGTTTTGTTCAACAGGCGATGGGATCTCCAAAACGAAAGCTGTGGAAGAAAAAGAGAGCCTCAGATATTAACCACTGTCCTAGACCGATCCACCCTCGAATAAAACGAACACTTCAAGAATCCTTCTTCGCTTTCTTTTCCGAGGAGGGATCATCGCCGGGAGCGATGGAAGCGGCGATGACTTCGGTAATGACTTAGCTCGGTGCGGAGGACAGGCTCGTAGTAGTCGGA